GTTTTAAAAAGTAATCTCTATATCTCATAAATGTATATAAGAACATAAGGTAATGTTTTATGGAGTAAAAGGAGTTTACTTATGGTTCCCCTCACCCCTTCTTAAACCAACTGTATGCTTCCCTGTATTTCCATCTTTATTCTTTACTTGCTTCCAATCAAAGTATTTTCTTTATAAACCACAATCAATTGTCATTGTCCTCACTAGACTATTTTGCATGTTTGTATCATCTGCATAACGTAGATTGTTGATGAGTGTACCTGGAGTCCTGATGCCACATTCCTCCTCATACAGCCCTGCTTCCAAGATGATCTGTTCTGCATATAGATTGAAAATGTCATCTTATTTTTAACTATTCATACTTTCTCATGTATTAATGACTTTCTTATCTATTTGAAAAAATAAGTTTAAGAAAAGCACTGTGTTTAATGGTTCATTGAGTCACAAAATTACAGGAGAGAGACCTTATATCTTTGCTGGTTTGTTGGTTGGTTGTTTTGTTTTGTTTTTTCCTAGTGCCAACAAAAAGATTACTGTCCTGGTAATACACTATTAATTAATTATCTCACATTTCTTTAAGGGAAGCACTCAAATACTTGACCCTTAATTAAATTGGCAGAGCCTGTTTACTGACTCAGCATTGAATCTCTTCTAATATTTTGTCCTGAATATAGAGGGTTTCTTAACTTTTGATCAGTTATTGGGTCACACACTGAAAAGTTAGCAAAAGCTGTGGACCTTCTTTCCAGAGAAATGCATATTCACCCAAAATACGAATTATAATGTTAACCAATTAGGGTATGGCAAGCGCTCACACTGACCAGCCAGTTACTTTACATGCACTGTTTGCTTTAGTTCTCATAGCAGCACTGTTAAGAAAATTGTGTGCATTTAGTCAATTCTGGCTCATAGCCACCCAATGTCCAATGGAATGAAACAAGACCCGGGCCTGGTTTGGCATGGTCAGTGCTGGTTCTAAGTCCAACATTTCAGCCGTGTGCTGAACCATCTTGTTGGATATCTTCTGATTTCTTGTTGACTCTATCCAGCACGATGTCCTTCTACAGGGACTCATCTTCCTGATAATATGCCCAAAGTACATGAGACAAACTTGCTGTCCTCACTTCTCAGGAACATTTTGGCTGTATTTCCAGAACAGATCTTTTTGTCCTCCTTGCAGTCCATAGTCAGTATTCTTTCTTACACACCCTTGTATCCTTTCACATGCATGCATATGAGGTGATGGAAAATAATATGACTTGAGTTAGATTCAGATCGCACCTTTACTTTAAAGAGGTGTGCTTTAGCAGATTTGCCTATTACAGTAAATCACTTAATTTCTTGACTGCTACTTTCATTGGTGTTACTTGTGAATCTAGGAAAATTGGAATTCTTGACAACTTCAATCATTTCTCTCTTTTTCAGTGGAGTTACTGATTGGTCAGATTGTGAGGATTGTTACTTTCTTCATGTTGAGTTATAATGCATATGAAAAGAATATCGTATTTGATATTCATTAGTAAAGAACAGTACAAGTCTTTTTTACTCAACATGAAAGAATGTGTCATTTGCATATTGCGAAGTTGATGAGTCTTCCTCCAATTCAGATTCTGTAGTTCCTCTTCAATTCCTCTTTCTGTAGTGCAGTTTCTAAGATTGCTTGCTCAGTATACAGATTTCATAAGTTTTTGAAAGAATACATCCCTGACTCACACCTTCCCTGATCTTAAACCATGCAGTGTTTTCTTGTTCTCTTTAAATGGATGCCTCTGTTTTCTCATTTATTTATTTATTTTTGTGTGTGTGTGAAGAACTTAAAGGATGAATATATAAAATCAGTTTCTCAACCCTGTAGAATTAGACAATGCAGAACTGGAGCTCAAATCAATTTTGATGGCCCCAAAGACCATTTCCTTGTCATTGTGTAACAGTTTTAGTTAACTCATAAATTGCATACAACTTGCTCATTGACACTCAGGTTAAGGACCACTCAACTCATTAACAATTAAGACTATATGCCATTCACGAAGCCTGCTATTTGTGTAACACACTTCATTAGAACACAAATATTAGTTCAATATCTGCCACTAAGAATATTTGTTCTGTGGCATGACCCTTATCTCATAATTTACTATATTCATGCAAAAAAAATCTTATCCATAAAACAGTGATAAAAAGAAAATATGAAGATGAACATATAGTAGAAATTAGACATTTCCAGATACTATGCATGAAAATTCACTGCTTTTTCAAAGCTCTTTGCAGTTGTCATATTCTGATTCCCTGATTTATAAAGGGGGAAACCAATCCAAAAGGCCACTATATCCTTTGGGAACCTGGTAGATTCAGTGTGCCATAAAAATGAGGTCTATAAAGTGAGAGTCTAAAAACTAAATATGCATCACATCCAGATTCCTGAGTGGCTTCCTCAGCATATCTGTCAGCCCCAGGAAGCAGGCCCCGTAATGAGATTCAGGAATGTAGCCCGCTCCCAGGCATTCAGAGTGTGTTGTAGGGTCATTGTCTGGAGCGAGATGTGTGTGGGGCAAATGCCTTACCAGTGCTGCTTTTTGACTCAAGTAGTCAAAAAGACACAATATGTAACTTAGATATGTTGGAATAACTCATCAACACTTGAGTTGCTTTTGAAGTAAATGAAGCTAATGTTAAATGCTCAGTTTACATTTTTGCCTTCAAAAAGAGAAAATAAGACATAATAACTCTCTGACTTTTTCGTGTGTGTGTGTGTATGTGTGTGTGTGTGTGTGGCTTAGCCAAGACTTTTTTATTTCATAATTAGCAGGACTCAGGGACTATAAAACCTGACATTGTTAACTGTTCCTTGTATCTGTCCCTATAGCCCTGTGTACAAGCACATGGATATGTAGCTTCAAGTGGTGTAGCACAAGTTGGTCATGCAAAAGCAGTAGTGACAGCCTGCCAGCCTGGTGGGAAATGATCAGGCATGGGAATTTCAGTTAATATGACCACGCAACAGCTCAGGATGCTGAACAGAGTAGCTCAACTTAAAATTTAGAAACAAAAGGAAATCCCAATAAACTAGATTTAACGGGAGCATAGTTTATTGTTGTTTTTAGGTGCTGTTGAGTTGAGTACGACTGATAGCAACCCTATGAACAAAAGATCAGAACTCTGTTCCATCCTGCGCCGTCCTCACATGTCTTGACACACAAGACACACAGCTAGGTTTAACAGGAGCATAGTTTAGGAATTTGAAACAAATCCTCTCTATGAGTTTCTCCTAGGTAATGGATGTTACAAGAGAGAAAGCGTGCATTATATTAGTCTTTATATTATCATGGTTTTCATAAAGAAGTTATAGAGTCTAAAAATTTTATTCTCATAAAACTTTAGTCACATGGGATATTCATATGACTGAATTAATTTTAGGATGGCATTTAGATTTTCTTCTGGAAATTTACTGCTGCTAGGCATGCAGTATAATTTATGATAGCTGTTCTTATTTGAAATGTCAAAAATATGATTTTGTATACACTAATATAGTGTTGTTGCATTTTAGCTAATTCACATTTTGAAATTTCATTTTATGGAAAGTTCCTATTGTCTCTATAATATTGTTAGACTTTTAAAAAAATATTAACAAGGATTTATGAAAACTTTCACATCTGGGAAGCTTAGGGTGGAAAACATTTTTAAACAGTAGAAATTCTTGTTATTTTCTGTAGTGACTATTCATAGATCATCATTTGAATCTATCTAGCTACTGCTTTTGGAAGTAATTTTTTAACATCTGTGCATATACCTAGGCATCTTTTGTTTAATATCATTAAAATATGCTAACTTTTAATTCCAAGCCTGGGAAGAAATTTGACAGTAAATAATTCCTTTTTCATATTTTCTATGAGCAAAGAGACACTTGAGTTGTTTTTAAGGTAAATGAGGCTGATCTTAAATGCTCAGTTTACATTTTTGCCTTCACAGGGAGAAGACAAGACATAGTAACTGTCTTAACTTGTGCCTTTGTATAAAGTGTGTAAGAGGCTTATACAAGACTTTTTTTCTTTCATAATAACCAGGACTCAGGGAAAATAAAACTTGACATTCTTAACTGTTCCTAGTATCTGTCCCTATCGCCCTGTGCAGTTATCTTCTGGCTAATGATGTGGAAGCCAGAGTCATAAACTGAGCATGTACCCAGGACGCTACTGTGAATTGCAAATAGCAATTCATGTGCTGTCTTTGACCTAAGACTAAATTGGGGTAGAGGAAACGAAGACTTTCTGAAAGTAGAATTGAAGTAGAAGTCAAGGACAAAGAATGCTCTAGAAAGTTGAACATATGCAAATAGTCTCTAGTTTCTGCAATGAGATGTATTCAGATGAGTCTTTTCATATCTACAAGTTGTCCTCTTTCTCAGGAGATAAGCATGGATCAGGAAAGCCTTGGTGGCTGAGTGTGTGTAGTGTGAGTTTGTGCGCGTGTGTACACACACACACACACACACGAAATGATACAAATAATCAGTGAAGGAATAATTAATGATGTGGCAGGGAATATTTTTTGATAAATGCTTGGGGAATGAGGTGACAGGCGTGAAATTAGAAAATTCCTTCAGCGACCTAAAATATAAATAGCTTTCGGAACTGAAAAGAGTTTCACAGCTGAAGATTTTATTGTGTTGAGAGGAAAAAACTTTTTTCTCTCTCCCCCTCCCTCCTTCTTTGCAAGTTGTTTGTCCATTCACAAAACAAATACTCTGAAGCCCAGCGCAGCTCATGGGAATAAATTTCAGGTCGAATTAGTACAGTTTCCTTGCTGTCAGGATGCTGGAATTAATGGTGTTTTGATGACACGAATTTTGAAGGGCAAACAAAGCAGCTGAAGGGAGAGAGACATGACTTCTTAGAAGCTCGGTCCTCCTCTCCCCCAGCCTCTCTTGTCTTCCCTGTCATCCGTCTGCCAATCTCCCTGTCCATGGTTAGTTAAAGGCGCTTTTTATCCCCTTTTCTTTCCCACAGAGTTTGCCAGATCCGGCCCGGTGCCTGGGTTCCAGGAGGACACGCTGCAGTTGGCCTTCATCGACTTGAGACAAGTAAGTCTTTGTATTTTTGTTTTTTGTTTTTCTTTTAAGATGTGTGACTGAAGACCATCAGGTCTTAAGGAGAAGGGGAGGGAAAGGGGGATTGGCGTTGGCGATTCACACTGGAGACCTGAGGGGTTTCCCTGTGTCTGAGGCCACTTCTTTTATTCTGCGATCTGGGACCCTGAGCCATGTTGGAGTTAAAGACTTTGTGGGTAAAGGGGATGACAGAGGGTGGGAGGAAGAATCCAGAGAGGAGAGAGAGACTCAAGTGACCCTCAAGTGATGCAAACCATTGTACCGCAGTTGGCTTCTGCAGGCGGTGAAAAGATAACTGGGCAAACCAGTGCGCAGCAGGTGCACTCCTGCAGAGCCGGCCTGTGTGGACGACTTCTGTGTGCGGATGATGTGGGGAGCAGCATTGAAGGGAAACCAACTATTTTATGTTCTAGTTTATTGATTTTGTGTGTTGACTTCTACTGCCCTGAGGCTTCCCAGCCCCTCCTTTATAGAATGTGGTCAGCCATGAGTGACTGAGTGGTCACTTAGGAAGGTGGTTAGCCTGGCCCAACCAGTCATGGTAACCACACAGGCAGCCCTGTTGTGTTGATAGGACGGTGGCCCCGAGACCTGGTCACACCTGAGCTCTGGCAGTGCTCTGATAGAAAGAGCAGCTTTGTGGGCTCCTCTCTGCAGACTGAAATGGGCTTATGGCCTTGGCCTTGGTGACTTGGTATAGAGAAGCTGGATGGGCGGGGGCCCACAGAGGGAGAGAGTGAGCTGGCCTCTGTCATCTCTTCACTCTGAAGATGGATGGGGTTGGATAGAAAGTGTGAATGAAGTAAGAACCAATGACTGATGCTTCTCTCCTATTAAAACAATCTTTTTTTTTGTCTGTTTTAAAAAGGGTGCTTGCTTTGTTTCTCCTGCCATAATGATGCAGTGCCTCTTGTTTTCAGAGCTGACATAGTTTGCATTCAGAAAACTTTGAGATGCCCAGGGTATTTCTTAAAGCTGTAGGACCCCTTGTATCGATAGTTCCCTCACCACTGTGACTTGGTTCATACTGGAGCTTTTAGTCCGTAATGGGTGGCCTGCGCCACCCTTGAATCCTGTAGATGGGTAGTGTAATCTGTCATCCGATGACAATTCTCAAAAGCCCTATTAACAGAAAATTGCGTCTGTATAGACCCGCCAACGTTTGAGAATTCAGGCCGCGTCCCAGAAACGTGTGTCAACTTAATATTTAGGGACTAGAGTGGTGCTTCTTTGAGACAGAAGACCATTCCCAATATGGTCACAAATGGAGCAGGATATCTCTTCCTATTTGTCAGACATTCTACCTGTGAATTCAGCAGCTCCACTGAGGAATTCAGGTTTTAACCCTTTGATTGATGGAAGGTTGCAAGATTAGAAATTTGCTGTAGAGTTGGGGAGTGGTGTCTGTTGGACTCCCACCCCTGACCCGCTTTTATTTCTTTTCTGAAATATCAAGCCAGTTGGCTTTTCTTGGAAAGCAGAAATTGACTTTCATTGGAGAAATACTTCCAAGCAAGAAATTTTTCCTTCTCACTATTCATGAGATGGGAATGTGGTCATTCCTTCCAATTTGTGGTCTTGGTCTACGGAAAGCATCTAGTGGTCACAGAAAATGTTGGGCGTGCATTCGAAAGTGCAGCCAAAGTCAGGTGCCCCGAGCAGGCGATGAATGCCCAAGTGCTGGTGTCTCCCTCAGCGAGCGCCTCATGCGGCCTCTTCATGCTTATCTACCTTCTCCTTTCCTTGTGCATTTTTTGTTGGCAGGACATTTTTTAATGATATTATTAGAGTAGAAGTCAAACCTTCAAACTTTTGCTAGTAATGAAAGGATATTCTTCTTCTTTTGAATCCTATCACCTAATATCTATTTATATTTATTACTATTAAAGCAACTCAAAGGGGTAATTTTTCTAAAAGAAATGATTTTAAAAACTCCCTACCTCTCTAGTTTAATACTCGTAAGTCTAAGGTTGATTGAATTATTGTGAGGAAAACAGGTTGTCCATATCCTGTGCTGAAATACTTGTTTTTGATTTATTTTTGGCATTCTCAGAGCAGGAGAAGGATGGGCAGTCTCCTCCTTTATGATTAACTGCCTCTGAAAACCCGCTGGAAGGTCAACTGTGGGTTGGTTCTGACTCTACAGTACATAACAGCAGCAACAGGCATTCTCAGAACATATTTAGAGTGGGTGTTCTTTTAAAAGGAGACTTTAAACTTGGGAGATATTTAAGTCATCAGTGAAAATCCTGGGGATATTTCAAGGGAAGCTCTCCTGACCCAAAAGGAGGCATGAGCAAGTGACCTTGAATATATGTTCTGATTTGTACACTCTCTAAAATCCTAGAACAGTCACTTAATTTCAAGGTCAATGGCTAATCTTAGAAATTAAGTAACAGAATCTTTGATTTAAAGACAGAATCCTGTACAGGACCCTCACACTGCTCTGAAATCTACCCTTGAGGGGAACTCACTGTTCAGAGCAGCAATTTCCCCCTGAACGCAGTCTGGTTATTAGAAAGCTGTTTCTTATGTTGGTAAGAACCTTTCTTTCCTTAACTTGACTTTCAACTCTTCGTATTTTTACGGGGTAAATAGTACCATCTTAGGGGATAGGCTTGTGCCCCTGATTTTTTGAGTGTCCTGTCTGCTAATAATAGTATTTTCCCATGTCACAGTCTTACCTATTCTTCATCTAGTCCTGATGTACACGGTTGTTACCGACTGAAATGGGCCACACTAATATTAAAAGCCCATGTTTTCCTCCAGGCATATTATAAGACAGATTTTGATTCTATCCTGTGCTTACCTTTTAAGGTCCTCATTGCATTTTCCAGCTTTTGAAAGAATTTGCTCATTATGCCCTGCGTAAGTCAAAGATAGAAATAGTAGATAGGAATGGTACAAGTTAAAGGGAGGGGCTGGAATGAAAGCAAAGTGTAGGTACAGTCCCCGGTGCAGCGTGCCAAGGATCGCGTTTCACTGTCGTTGAACCCATTTGATTCACTGCGGAGAAGTCTATTCATTCTGATCATGATTTCATGTTCTCTTGCTGGAGAGTGTTATTCAGACTCTATCAATTTAATGATAATTTTAAAAAACATTCAAAACATAGAATAATAAAATCGTCTCTCTGTAATAGCAGAGTGTCATTTAGAGGAAACAGAATTTAATTAGGAAGATAATTAGATGTGTGGAGTGAAAGTATTCATCCCTCCTCACCTGTCCTGTCTAGTCTCAGTGCCTTGCTTCCTAAGGAAAAAAAGAATGAAATGACATTCTGAATGAGAAAGCTCTCAGGATATTTTACATTTGTATAGCACTTCAGAGTTAAAGTGCATTTACATACATATCTCATTTGTCAGGTTTCCAGGATTAGAAAATGTGCTGTTAAAAATAATGAGAATTAGGGAGTGAAAATCAAAATCTCCTTTGACATTTTATGTTCTCTTTATTTACAAGTTCAGAGAAGTAGGATTGCAGTATAACTTTGTGGGCTTGTATATCAAATATAGGCATAAAGTCTAGCAAAACATAAACTTGACTTAATGCTGAATCTTTAGAAGGACAACCTATGGGCTTATTCATCAGCTTTGTTAAGTGGCCTGTACACTACAGGTAGTAGTCCTAGCTGACCTTTAATGGTTCTTATTCATAGTCACAATACAAGACCAATGGTACAGTCTCAGTAGTTATTTGGTTCTGTGTCAGTATTCTGGTTTGTCTTTTTTCCCTTCCAAAGTTGAACACTCATGAACACCAAACTATGAACTTCAGTTGGTTTCATTTCATTTTGTTTTCAAGTGTCTGTTGTACATAAAGATGACCTAAGTGCCATGGAAATGCACCAATAAATAAAAGACAACCTCTGTCCTCTGGGGGCTCAAGTCAGCCAAGATTTCTCTCCAATATGAGGCCACATCTACTGTATTAGGAATGAAAGTAATGTGCATGTTTCATTTATTTCAGCAACTTTGTCACAACATACCAATCCAAAACAATAATTGACCTTACTTACGTGCCATAGATTTAGTTCAAGAATCTACAGGTTGGCAGGTTAGGCTAGGTTCATCCGGCCTCGCTTGCCCTTGGACATGAGCTGCTAGATTGTTTGACTAGTTCTGCCCGGCCTGGGGTGATTCACACACCAACTTCTCCGCTCCATGCCACCTCTTAACCACCAGCAGCTTTACCCATGTGTTTCACGTGACCTTTTGGCTGGGTTCCAAGAGAACTGAGCCAATGTACAAACCCCTGGATGTCTCGGCTTAGAATTAGCAAGCCCTCACACTCTCCGCAGTCTTTCCGCCAGACCCAATCACAGGGAGTGGGGAATTTGAGGAGTGGAAAACTAGACTCTAGTTTGTACTCTAGTTCGAACACAAGACTTCTTTATAAGCAATGTTGTTGTTGTTATGTGCCATCAAGTCACTTGCAATTCATAGCCACCCTATGTATAAGAGCCCTAAATGCCATTCTATCCTGTGCCAACCTAGCCATCTCAAACGCACTCATTCCCACCACTCCAGTCAATGTTGTTGTTGATGTTACGTGCTGTCGAGTCGCTTGCGACTCATAGCGACCCTATGTACAATAGCCCTAAACTCTGCTCTGTCCTGTGCCAGTCACACCATCTCTGATACACCCATCCCAATTACCCCAGTCACTGAATCAATCCACCTCATAGACAGCCTTCCCCTCCTGTGCTGTCCCTCCACCCTCCCAGGCATGATGTCCCTCTCCAAGGACCGGTCCTTCCTTACAACATGTCCAAAGTATGTCAGACGAAGCCCCAGAATCCTTGCCTCCAAGGAGCCGCCCGGTTTGACCCTTTCTAGGATGAATCTGTTTGTTTTCCTAGCAGTCCATGGTACCCTCAATACTCTTCTCCAGCACCACAACTCAAAGACACCAATTCTCCTTCTATCCTCCTTAGTCATTGTCCAACTCTCTGATGCATAACAAGTGATAGC